ATGTAAATAACATTTACAGTTAATTTCAGACACATGAAGAAAAACTCCAGGTGGCTTAATTGACACTAAAGAGGCTAGTTCCTTCTTTACCGTATATCTTATTATTTGCGGCAACTATATTTTTCCATCTTTTCAGTACAAATAATACCTGAGGGTGGGCACCTACAGCAAGCTCTGCCCCTTTTGAATGAGCATGCATTGTCATGATGTATGTATAGAAGAGGGAAGGCACTTATCACAATGGTGCAATGCTGCTTTTCTCAGACTGACTGGTTTGACCATGACCATTCCCACCTCATGGACATGGCTGTTCCCAAGGTTGCTTACAAAAACTCTCCACTTCTCTTTAAAATTTATTTTGATTCTATAGAATTATGGAAAGTTCTTCCTGAGGAAGATCAGGATAGGGCGATACCAAGCCCTTGGGATATGTACATCCATGCCCTAAAAGATCAGGAGATTGTAATTCACCTTACAAGCATTTTGCCAGGAATAATGATTAACATACAGAGGCTTGAATGGTTCTCCCTTTAAAACTTGGCGGACCATATATATATATAATGGCGACCATATATATATAATTAATGGCGGACCATTAATATATATATATATATTCCTTCTGAGATTAATGTTCATAGACCTAACTAGTTTTTATTACCTCTGAAAATGTCCAATCTATTGTTACATTCATATAGTATTTATGGTGCATTGCTTTATACTAGATATAAAGGGAGAGTGTTGTAAAAAAACAAGCAATATTGATAATATTGAAAAAGTTGTTTCTTTATTAGGGCAATGAAGAAGGCAACACTGTGTCTTCATTGCAGTTCCCACCCCATTTCCCACAGCCCAGATTAGAAGCTACTATTCTGAGAATGCCAGAAACAACTTCAAGTTAATTAACTGGTTGTGTCTTCTTTAGACAGATGGAGTGAGATGATTGTGAAAAGTTGCTTAACGTGAAACACTGCCAGGAGTTTATTTTTTTAAAAAAAAATTTAAAAATTCAGTTTCATCTCTGGGACCCCAGTATTCAAAGGAACATTTTACTGTAAAAGAGGTTTGAAAGTTGCTTTTGGCTACCAATTAATAGAAACCTAATTGACAGTATTTGCTTAAAATGCCTACGTTCAAAGGCGATATTTAGCCTGTCAGGTAGCATCATCATTTCAGCAGGTTCCATTTTTCCTTGAACAGAAATTAATTTCCAGAATCACATTCAGCATGATAAGTCTCCTATTTTCATTTGCTATAGCTTTCTTGAGAGTCATTCTGTCACAGTGAATTATAAAACAATTGTTGACCCATCCAGCGCAGGTGAATTTCCACATAACACTGGACATACAATGAAGAACGAAATTAAAAGAGAGCTGTTGTAGTTTCTAACTTAGTGACTTGGATCCCTAGTTCATCCTAAGCTTAGAAATGGAAGCTTATGGTTTGCTGGCTAGAAAATCCTAGAAAGGAAAACCTGAGGAAAATCTCTGTACACTTAAGGTAGACAATCACTTAGCAAAGCAGGAAGTGTTGGGAAACTTACTAAGCTGAAATGGATGTTATGCTGCTCCAGCCAAAGCTTTCCTTATAATTATCTTGACTCCTTGCTTGAAATCTACAATTGCCACCTCCAGAAAAGTATCACCTGGAGGGCCCTGTCACCTGTTACAGTCCTACTGAGCATTGGAAGAAGTTTTGAACATGACTCATGGGTGTCTTCTGGAGAGCGTGGGGGCAGGCCCAAACACAGGTGCAGTGCAAGGCGCTAATTGGAGCTGAATGTGACATTGGGAGTTTCTTCATGCTGCCAGACTTTGATTCTAAAATTGACTCCCTTGTCCCAACATTTATTGAGTTTACTTGCTTATTTCTTAGCACTGTTCCTTCTTCTTCCTCCCCAACATGCACTGCTATGCCTCTCTTACACTTTTCCTCTTTGACTGAGGCCCTTTACTTCAACTGAAATGCTTTGGTTGGGTCTGCCCTTTCTTTCAAGGGTTTCCTGTCTCTTTTCCTCTCTAGAACGTTTGGTTAATGCTCTTTCACTTTCTTCTTCTTTATCTTTTCTGCTCCATTCTTACTCTTTTCTTCCCCCTATTCACTTTCATTCCTTAGTTTTCCTGTGTTTTTTAAAAAGAAAATATATATTCAAAATTCCCTTTCAGTTTCTTTTTCTCTACAATTATACAGTTCATCCATTTCCCCCCCTCTGGGGATACTAACAAGGAGTACCACCACATTAAAACCTTAAACAAGGGAATCCCAGATTGTGAGTCAGGATACCTGGAGGGCCCACGTGAACTTCTTGGGGGTGAAGGTGGGAGGTTATAATTATTTTTAGAACCCAAGTGGGCCTGGACAAACAGAATGGGCATTTAGAGAGAGGGGAAAGGAAAGAGCTCATTCTAGGCTTTGCTCCATATTTTGCTTGCACAAGCCTCCAGTGGGCAGTTTGCAATGCTTAAGAAGCTCTGTGGGATGAACCTTCAGCAGGGCTTTCATTTAGAGAGAGGGGAAAGGAAAGAGAAAGGCTGAGAGAAATAAAAATAGTCACATACTTTCAATTTTTGCCTCCCCCATACCAAATGGATAACAGAACACGAGCAGAACATGTTTTTTATGTCCTTTTCTTAAAGCACCCTCCTCCTTGAATGGTGGATTTTTCTTCTGGTTGTGAATATTGGGATTTATTGTGCTTTTTTCTGATGTTTCTGCTCTTTGCAGAATTCTTCCTATTAACGCTGTGCCTTCTAACACCCCAAGCCATGTGCCAAAGCAGCTTCCTGTTAAGCTTAACTTTTGCCAATTATTAATACACTTTTATAAGCTTCTGATAAGAGGCAATTGAAAACATCATTATAAGGCATTTAGTAAGTCCTTAATTATAATTAATTAATAATAACTTGTACTGGCAGCATTTTCACTCTTTTATAAATCCATAAAGCATTATTATTTATGAGTAACCCTTTTTGTCACTGTTTTGTGAGTCTTTATTTCTTTAGGTTGCTATTTTCTCCACTTTAAAAAGTTCCCATTCTCTAATATGAGTAGAAAGCAACCTGAAATATTGATCAATGAGTAAAATTTCTAAAAGACATCTTTTTATAGTGTTACATTAAGTTTTATAGCATGAGTTGAGTATAAGGCAAATTTAAAAACTGAGTGTTACACAATGAAATATACAACTGATTATTTAACACCTCAGAGTTTATCACAATGAAATCATTTTATCAACCTTTTTTAAAAAGGTGGTTGCAGAAACTCACAGTCCTAAGAATTTAATCAGTGGATAAAGTTTTGCTAAACTTTCTTGTAAATATCTAATTTGCAGCATTTTAAATTTTGTAAAAGAGGTCTACACAACTTAGATTAATCCTTATACTGGAAAAGGAAACCAGTTTTTCATGTAATCTTGCATATGGCAGGGATCTTCCTTGCTTCTGAAACCCTTGCTGATTTGAGATATTTATATTTGGAACACATAAAAATAGAGGTAGTCCCTGGGTTAAGAACGCCCAGTTTACAGATCACCCATAGTTAAGAACAGAGCCTATTGTAGCAAAATTCTAGTTAAATACACAATGATTTGAGTTAAATACACAGTGGTTCAAGTTCATTACACTATACTACTTATATGGTATTATACAATAATACTGTTCCAGCTGACATAGAAATTCGACTTAAGGACAGACCTTGGAAAGTGCCATTAGAAGTGCATTTAACAGTTATGAGTTAGAGTTTGATTTTTAAAAACTGAGTTAATTTGAATTCTTAATTTTAGACATTCTGCTGAAAAAACAAATAGCCATCATTGATTAATTTATTTTATGCTGTTGATTTTGTATAATAATACTATGTATTGCGTAGTGTGAATCCAGCTTTTGAAATTATCACTTTATTCAACCATTGGATCTTAAATTGTTGGGAGGAGGGTTGGTACCAGATACTCAGGATCTAATCTATTTGTTTCATATGCTACACTTATTATAGAAACATTTTAGATTTCTTCTTAATATCTGAAAGAAAACTTTAAGGCAAGTTTGGAACACTCTGCTCAGCTTAAATATCTCTACAAAAATTAATGAAGCTATAAAATATTTCAGTAGGCTTAGAGTTGTTTGTTGTTCTTCTTCTTGTTGTTTTTAAGGGACTTCAATAGATCTTTCTTTTAAAGCCAGATTTCTAGATCAACCTTACATACGCATAGCAAAGGTTGTCACTTTAGGTTGTCTCATGGTGATAGTTTGGTTTGTTTGTTTGTTTATCACATTTATATAGTTGCCCTGTTCAGTTCATCTAGTAGCTTTAGCAAGAGTGTCCTCCCTCTGTTCTTGTGGTTTCCTTACTGTAAATGCATGTTTGGGGGGATACCAGCCAAAAGGGAAGACTGCTTTCTATAACACGTAGGAAAGGAATATGAAACAAATATCTAAAACTTACTTTTTATAAGCAGTTTATTCACAGATTTAAACTAATCTGTGCAGATATACAGTATCTAGAACCCTTGTAGGCTAAGTAGATGCTGTGGTAGAATATTTGTTCCTCGTATGTTGCATTTCCACCAGCAAGAAATGTTTTACGTGTACAAGCATTCATATATTATTGGTTATTTTACTGATTTCAATATTTTTATTTTTTAATAAATGTCAGAAGATCATATGCAATAAAATCAGAGCCCTCTAATATTGGTTCTCTACATGCATAATTAAATTGTGCAGTTTTTGAAAGGCTGCAGTAAATGCCTTTTCTAAACAGATAAGAAGGTTCTAGGTTGTCAGATCAGCATGAGATAAAGTTGATTCTCTGTACAAGACAGTGCTCTGAGGAGTGGAGGGGTGGAGAGCAGAGAGAAACAGATTTTCCCAATATTCCTGGATTGATTCCAGAATCCTAAACTGAAACAAGGGGAGAGCTTTCCCAAACAATAGTGTTACAGTCAGAAAATGTCTAGGTGATTTTCTACTATGCATTATATAAATGCTTTTTTCATCATCTGCTTACAGCAAGTCCTACCAAGCCAGGACGAGGAGGATACCCAAGTTCAGAAGAGGTGGTTCGGGAATCCAGCAGCACAACTGGCATGGTGGTCGGGATTGTGGCAGCAGCCGCTCTGTGCATTCTCATCCTCCTCTACGCTATGTACAAGTACAGGAACCGAGATGAAGGCTCCTATCATGTTGATGAGAGTCGAAACTACATCAGTAACTCAGCACAGTCCAACGGGGCTGTGATTAAGGAAAAGCAACCCAACAGCTCTAAAAGCTCCAACAAAAATAAGAAAAACAAGGATAAGGAGTACTATGTCTGATCCCAACGACTGGAAAGAACAATTGTATAGAAATAGTCTTCATTTTATCTGAGACATAAAACAAAACTTATTTACTTTACTTTTTATGAAGCACATACAAAGTTTAAAAAAAATGGGGAAAGGAGAACACAGGGAATGCAATTAGAAAGGAAAGACTTTTTAACAAAACAAGGAACGAAAAAATGAAATAAGCATTTCATACTCTGGTTTCTCTGAAACGGGAGTCAGTAAACCCCCTTACATTCACAGTGTTTTCATTTACTCTGCCATCTTTATGTTGATGGAATGTTTCTGAAGAAGATGTTGGTACTACTGCACACTCATAAGGCAAAGAGTATTACTCCAAAACATCACCCAGCACAACACAAATTGTGACAAACTGAAACAAACAAGAGATGAAATCCTGCACACACCCACAATAAAGAAGCTACCTATGAGTCTGGATTTAGCCAAAGTGCTTGCGCTTTCCTGAGGAGTCAGTCAGTCTGATTACCCGAAAAGACTTTGCCATTCCACACAAGCCCTCAACGAGCAAAGGCTGAAACTGCGCTTGCCACCTGGTGCAACAAAACAATGATTGGAGCATGGGTTTGAAGTAAAGTGCTGGCTTTTCTGAATAAACCACATTTAAAAACAGAAGAAGAAAACATTGTTGAAAAGAGCCCCTTTCTGGTTGTGAGGAAAAAGTATAGCGGCCTTATTTTCAAAAATAACAATAAACCAAGAAACAAAATACATGAAATATAAGGCTTATTTTCACACACCATTACCAACAAACCTGAGGGCATAGATGCAATCATTGGAATAAAAAATCATGCACGCTTAGTATGTTATTACCTATGTTTATATTAAAAACACATCTATATGTGCTTTCTGGACTGTGATAAGTGATGTTTTCTAGCCTGTTGTATAGAAAATGCAAACTATATCTGCTCTTCAACCATTTTTGGTAAACTCAATGTTCTAAGTGTTGCTAGGTATAGAATGTTTTATGACATCTGGAGCAACCAACATTTCTGTTTACTTTTGCAGCCATGAGAAACTGCCACAATTTTTATTCCCTTCCTGTCTCCCTCCCTCCCTTCCTCCCTCCCTCCCTTCCTCCCTTCCTTCCTGGGTTTGGTTTTAATTTACAGTGTAGTAAATATACTAAACAGGATGTGTATGAATGTATATAAGAGTCAGCTAATTTTCTTCTTAACTTGTACAGCCTCTCTTCTTTTGCAGTTCAGTTTTAGTAGTTTGTATGAAAGAAGTGGACTTAGAAAGCAAATATATATAGATATAAACTTCATAATTTTCTTCTCCAATTGTCTATCCTCTCCTATGATACATTAGCAAGATCAATCACTATTGTGTGATTTCAGCTCTTTTCTCTTCCCACCCCCATTAAACCCAACACAGACCTGCTGATTTAAGTGACCTTTACACTCCAGTTCAACTTTCTGGCTGCTTGCCAAGCAATCAAGAAAAAGATTGAATTCCATATCTTTCATCTAAACCTTTATTATCATTTGCTTCTTAATTATAGTGTAGCATTATACAGTTGGTTGGTAAAGAAATTCAGAAATCTGCCCTTTAAAGTACTCTCACTAAAGCAACCCTGAGTTAGGAAAAACATTAATGTTCTCAACATAAACTCTGCAAAACAAGAACAAAAGTTGCACCTTTTGTCAAATAAGGAACAGTTCTCCTTTTAGCCTGTTTTTAATTACCCGACTCTTACCCTAAGCTTGAATAGATTTTCTTATTCTAAGCTAAATGAGTACAGCGGTTTGGTAATAGACATTCTTTAAGATTCTCTACATAGATATATATGTATAAACATTACAAGCATTCTGGTTTATATACATGCTTATGTTACAGATTTGCAAGTTTGTTTTTTGTGTTTTTTTTTTAACAACAACAACAAAGAGACTGCTCCACTGGGTTCCCAACGATGTCATTCTGTAGCATCTTACTTAGAAAGATACAAGTACATTATGCAGAAAGATAGTTCAGTAGAAAATCAGTCTTATCCTAGAAGGCCTCCTGGGAGGAATAGAATTGTTCACACTTTACAGACAGGAAAAAGGAATTTAAAATTAGCTTTAATCAACAAGGCACTGTATTTTCTTGTATGCTGTTTGCTGCTGTTGTGGCAAAAGACTGGGAACTGGTGTTCAACAGAGCAATACTTTAGAAATACAGCAGAACACTGCTAAATGATTTGAACAATGTGCTTTGTGTCAAGGGCTTGTGAGAGAAGAAAGGATGATGCATGAGAATATTTGAAGGCTACGTTGCACTCAAGATAACCTAAAAGTTGTTTGGCCAATTTTCCTTGTATCTACCACCTTTTCAGTTACTTTTGCTGAGGGGAGGGCAGGATAGGTTCACCCTATGTTATAATCATGGCAGAAACCTGGCTTTGGAACTCAAAACAAGCCATCAGTGAGGGATGGATATTCATAATAATCAAGAGAGAGATTTTAAGCTTTGGTATACACTGATGGCAAGGTTCTTATGTGACTTCATATACTCACTCTGTTACCTAACTTTTTTTCCCCAAGCAATTAACATACTTACTTTTAAGGGGTAAGTGACGGGGGATTGCTATTTCTAGCAAAGATATTTCAAACTGTTTTCTGAGGAGTTACTCCTGTTCTTCCTTGTTGATTTTGTGATTTAATAATGAGCAAAAACAAAAGTGTTTGCATTTATCAAATGTTTGCAGTAGCTATATTAAAACACTTTCTTTTTTCAAAATGCATAACAAATACATTAATACCATCTCTATAATAATCTAATTTGTTTGACTAAGGCTGCAATCCTATGCATAATTGGGAGGGAAGGGGTCAGTCCCATTTAAGTCATTGGGACTACTTCTGGATAAACATGCCTAGGATTCTGCTGTGATGAGACGGCTCTGAGTTGTTTTTTTATTATTGTATTGTGTTGTCTTTTTTTTTTAACAAAACACTAAAAGAATATGTGAAATTATTCATTCCCAAGATATTAAAAAAGAGGTCAGAAGCCCTTAACCTTATAGTGCTTTCTGTGATAGATATTTACAATTTTTTTTAATTGTTGCAAGGCCAATTTATCCATTATTGGAAATGCTAAGCAAGTGGAATTTACCGTTTTGTTAATAAAATGTTTCTTAATACAATTGCTGGCTCATTATTTTCCATCTCTTTTCATTGTATGTGTGCTATCATCATAATCATCATTCCCAGGAGGATGGTCAAAAAAGACAAGGCGGTGGCCACAGCTGTGTGATCAAACCACCACCTGTTTTTATATGTGTCATGGATGGAACACGTGAAAAAGGAGCAGGCCTTCAATTGACAAGTCACAGAAACCATCTTAACCTTTTTGATCCTCTATGGGGACACCCCCTGAAATTTGTGCTAGTCCCCAAATCAGTTTCAATTATCTCAAATTTTCTTCTTAATTTCTATATATGAAGCAGAGCCACACAAACTCATTCATAATGAAAAAGCAAGTGCCCACGATTGACAATTCTTTGTAAGCATCTCAGCACCCATGACTGTTTGTATTGTTATGACAGTGTGAAGTAATTGCACTGTTTATACATATGATACATTTTCCATTTAGAATAAGGAACTAAATTTAAAGTCTTACAATTGAGGTCCAAGCTTACTGTACTAAGAATTACTGTTCTGGTTAGTCGGTTTTTTAGTTACTAAAAAGTGGATTGTCACTCCCAAATCAACAGTAAGAAGGAAGAATGGCAGAATTGATAGCCATGGAATCATTTTGTTGATCCATCCCCTTACCTGACCTTTTTGTAGTGAAAAAAAAAAAAAAGACCATAAATAGATGAGCAATGGGTCACTTACACACACAGGCTTTATAATACTAATCTGTGTAGCACTGAGGCCAACAGCATGTACTGTCCCGTTTTCAATAGTTGCATGAGACTTCCCTTGAAGTAATTCATTGGTGAAATGATAACAAAAAGAAAACAGAGCACCTTTGATCCATAAGCATTATAGTTGATGCATTTTGATCTTACAGAATCTCCTGAAAATTCATCAAGTGGCCATTTTTATTCCTGAATGATAGTTTAAGAAACACTATATTACTGTAGCTCTGCTCAGCCACTGGTCTATGCATTTGCAGCCTTCTTTCACCAGAAAAATTACAAAGTTTGCAGCAGTGGGATTTGTATACTCTGGATGCATTATTAGAAATGACAAGAACTGATATGCAAAAACATTTCTTAAGGGAGACCATAAACCAGTAAGACATATCATAGATGGCTTGTTCTTAATGGAGGGTTTTGACCTGATTCACACATTGCACTGGTTTGTTTGCATGGTTTACAAAAAGAAATGCAATTTATTGAGTTTGCCAAATAACACTAAGTCATAAAGTATAAAAAGTACTATGGCTGGAGCCATAGAATACACTAAACCATAATCAACCTACATTATAATGTAATGAAGTGTCTAAACACAGTCTCTATGTTATGAGTGATTAATCATAGCCTGTGCTCAGTTAGACTGATGGACTGATTACATGGGCTAGGATTAATGTGGATCAAGATCAGGCAGAAAAGACTTAATGTTCTTCAAGGCTGTACTCAGAAAAAGGGAAAACATGATCTCTCTTATCTTAGAGAATAAGAACTAATAATGACTGGCTTCAATTATAGGAACAGAAAAGTCTTATTGCAACAAATGGGAACTTTGACAGTGAAACTACATAATTGTCTCTACAGATAATCAGGCTTTCGCTGATGGTCATCTTGAAGCACAAGTCAGTTGTTGGGAATCCTCTAGCTTTAGATTCCCTGCATCAAGCAAAGAAATAGACTAAATGCCTTTAACCCCTTCTAAATTCTATGGTTCTTATAAGGGTGAAGTGATTCCTATGATTGCAATGGTTGGGGACAGTGTTATAACTACAGAACTTACTGTTAGCTCCTAATTTATGCCTTTTTTGTCATGCAGTTCTGATGCTAAAGGTGCTCATGGTACATAAATCCTCCCTAAGTACAAGCTAGGACTCTGAAATCTGGGCTGCAACAGCCCTAGTAAAGCCATTATGCAGATTTGTACTTAGTGTGATTTATGAAGGCTGGATCTGTTTATGCTACAATCTGCCAAACCAGGCACAATTCACCAGTCAAGTACAGAGACTGGCAGTTCCTTGGAAATATGAGGAAGATATTGAACTCTACGTGGGCTGCCATGTATGGCTGACCAACTGGCAGCTTGGTGCCAATAAAGGTCGATTTCCAAGGAAGAGGTGGTTTCAGTCAAAGGGGCCACAATGGAAATGATATGAATCGTTGCTGCTTTTTCAAGCATTTATAGGTCATCCTTAATTATAATATATGGAACTTTCAAATGAGTTTAGGTTTAAAAGGGATATGATTTGGGTACAATATGAAGAACAAACTGTCAAATTTCCTTCTTTGCTGTCTTGACTGGAAATGTTTAATCTCAGAAATAAGAATCTAAGAGCTCTAATTTGTAGTATTTGTTAAAAGAAAAGTTAAGGTCACCACACAGGAATTCCAGCAAGTACCATCTATTCAAATGAGAAACGTATATATAAGCAAACTCTTGTCCATTTTCCTCACACTCTTGTGAAGTTGAAACAGTATACATCTCTATATTGTTTTGGTAACTGTTATTCCCTTGCTCCCACATGAACCATCAGCAGTGAGATACATTGGCTAAATGAGCTGGCACAGTTCTAAAATATGTGAATAGAATATGGGTGTCTAGGTAATAAAAAATAGTTGTACAAATCTGATTTTGTCTGTTCTCACCTGAAATTCTGTCTCTAGTTTTGGAAACTAGAAAATTCTCAACTAATTGGAACATGTCCGGGGGGAAATAATAAAGATTTGGGGGACCTGAATTTCAAATTCTGTGAAGTAAGCTTGAAAGATATATGTTTGTGTAAGAGTTGGTACCCAGATAGATAAAGATTCCGGAGATTTTCACGTACACTGCCAGCTGCCAACTTCTCTGTTATCAATGAAGAGACTCTACCTCCACAAAGGATCACTGAATGCTTAGAAAGAAAATCAGAAAATCTCTGCCCTAACACACACAGAGATAAGTTGATTCAGTTGCTGGAATATTTGTAACCACATCCCATTCTTCTTAATAAAACCTGCTGCACAGAACTCTGTAAGACTCATGCTTGTAAAAGAATCACTTTCGGTTTTAGGCAGCTGCCAGAGACCCTGACAGTTTGGCTTGAAGAAGAGCTATTAAGAGACAATATGCTACTCATCTTCATTACCTTGGCTGTTACATAGATGGAGCAAATTTATTCTCTGTGGCCTCAGAGGCAGGATTCTGAACCTTCAGATGCAAATTACAAGAAATGGGATTTCAGGTAAACATTATGAATAACTTTCTGATAGTAAGAAGTATTCCACAGTGGACCAGACCATCTTGGAAGCTGCTGATCCACCTTCATTAAAGATTGTCAAGCAAAGGCTAGATGAGCAAGTATAAGGAACACCAGCATACTTCTAGTATGAAATAGTAACAAATAGAACTGTGGTGCAGTTGCCCCAAATCTACAAATCCCTTTTCAGCATATTGCTTTTTTTAAAACTGATGTCTTCATTTCTCTCTTGATTTATTGAATCAATCTCAAAGCCTCAAAACAAAATAATATTTCATTGAATTAAAATTAATTTACTAAATTTGACAATATACTAATTCATGTTTAATTTAACAATGGTTTATTCAACCCAATTTTGGGGATTAGCACAGCACACTGAGCCACAAATTAACCACATGGCCTGGTTTTGCACAACACTTTAAGCCTAAATATGTTGGGCTAACTTGTGATTCTGTCGTGCAAATCTAGCCACTAAGATTGTCCATCCTTTTCTCAGCTTAGCCTCTGTCCAAACCCTATAAAAATAGGGATAAGAATAGATGTCTGTGGGAGATAG